CTAAGGCCACCTCCTTACTTTATCATTCAACTGTCGTTGCCTCCTTTATTGGACAAACGCCACCATCTCCTTTTTCAGACGACCGCATCCACCACCTTTACCGGATGACTTCTGTCGATCATCTATAACATGATCACCACCACCCCCTTAACCAAAATGTCGTCGTTGTCGGTCCACATCTCCACCACCACTCGATTTTTGCACCATCTACCACCATTCTTTTTCTGCACCATCAACCATTAAGTTCATGACGAATTCCAACACTAATGAAGTTTATGCTAAGATTAGGATTTTCCTTTGAGAAACTTAATCTTTCTCCAATACATTCATTCAATTTGAAGATGAATTTTTAGGGTTTAATATGAAGTTGATGATGATGCGTTTTTAAGGCTTTTTTCCTTTGAGAAATCCTCTTGTTTCGCCAAGATCATCGTTGTCGTTGTCGATTGTCGGTGACTTCGAAAAATCTCTTTTTGTCTTCTCCCTTCTCTAACATCACACCGTCGCCTTCACCTTTACCGGTGATGATGACATCCTTTTTAACCTGACCTCTGTACCAATTGCTACCCACCATGGATTTTGATTTTGATCTTCAATATCTAACACCTTCCTAACCTCTACATATTTATTCACCGACAATGAAGCTGTCTCTACTACTCAAGTTTCAGTGATGAAGCTATCAAATCTAGATTTCTTTGCTTGGTTTTTCCACAAATATGATCAGAAATTCATTCAAACCAAATATGTGTTATTTTATTCTAGTCTGATTTCTGGGTCGATTAGATTGAACGTATGGTTTAAATGAATTGATTCTACTTTTGATTTATTAGATTTCAATATTTTTGGATTTAATTTTCATTTTTAATTTTAGATTTGATATTTGGTTTAAATGGATTCGATGTGGTTTTTATTTTTCGGTGTCAAAGATGGTGGTTCTTTGCTTCGGTGGTATAGGAGATAGTGGCATAGATGGTGGTAGTTTACTCCGGTGGCATTTTACTTCGGCAAGAAAGCAATCCGGGTGAAAGAGTAGAAATATAAAGGGATAGTGTGTAATTTTCTAGATTAATCATAAACTTGCAATAATAAATTAAAAAATAATACATAAATAATAAAATTAATTAAACTGTTTTTAAATCATAACCAATAACAATAATAATACTTAAAAATAACATAATCTTATAAATTACATTATATTACCTTGCAAAAAAATATCAAATAAATAATTTCTAAATTAGTTAATCGTAAAGTAACATTGAGAATTATATTTATTTTTATTCATTGTCAATTGTAAATGACCGAGTAACGACCATTAAATAATATGATTTTAATAGATATTGTAGTACGGTTCAAAATTATTATAATTTTACATAACAAAATTAGTATAGTAAACTGTTATAACATGGTTAGTATTAATAACATAATTATTTATTTGTTAAATTTTAAATATATAGTTTTCTTCTGAATTTTTTTTTAGGGAAAATGACTCTTGAGGGTAATTAACTTTTGCGTTTGTACTCATTTGGTCCATTTTTTTTTGTATTCAATATACCATCGAACTTGTTGTTGGTGTTTACCATAGCCCTTTTGACCGACTTTTGACTTGTGATAGCCGGTCAAAGGGTTATGGTGAACACAAACAACAAGTTCGATGGTATATTGAATACAAAAAAAAAGGAAAGGGACCAAATGAGAACAAACACAAGAGTTGGTTACCCTCCTGATTCATTTTCCCTTTACTCATTTACAACAAATCTCACATCATCTCCTACTGATATTAATGACTTTATGATATTCATTCTTGCTTCTCTTCAAAACATAACTCACGAAAGGACATTATTCATGCATGTACAACTTTGTAATGCACTTGAATATTTATTAGGGGAATCTTGACTAAGTAGGCGCATTTCATGACTACATTTACATTTGCAAACAAATGATTTATCGTATCATGGATTCTAGACAAGTCTACAAACGAGTGGAATCACAAGTGCTGTGATTTTTGAGTTTACTTAGCTTTAAGATCGAACTCATGGGATAAGATATAACATCAATATGTACAATATCATGTTGCTTTTGTAGACACATCACCATAATATTATACATATTGATGTTGTATCTTATGTTGGGTTTTGAGCAATCTAACACTTCCTAAGTGTGCATGCAACCCTAATAAACCTTGGATATATGTTTGTCTAAATACATGAAAAATAATAATTTTCCAAGGTTCATAACCTATCTAACATAGCATGGGGTACTTTTAAACATAAAAGAATTAGATGAGATTACATACCTTTTTGATGAGTTTGATTCTTAAGGAGTTTGAGGGTCAAGCACCAATAGTGTGAATGCCTCAAATGGAATCACAAATCACCACAAACACTTGGAAAACTTTGAGAGAGTGTATACACACTATAATTTCAGCCACACACAAACACACACACTAGTGGCTATTTCATGCAACATAAGCATGCTTATATAGTGTGCATGGTTAGTGTGAAACCCTAATAACCCATGACCTTTCCTTTTCCAAGGATCCATGGGTTAAAAGCTCCATGGATCATCCATGGACTTCCATACAAGCCTAGCCCATTAACAAATGAGTGTTAGCCCACACCATATAAAACCAATAGCCCACAATCTAATTAGTCTTCCTTTTAATCTCTAAATTAATTCATAATTAATTTAAGACTAAGACTAATTAAATAACATGACTTCATATTAATATATTATAACTTATAATATATTAATAATCATATGTGTATAACTCTTATAAAATTATCCATAAATAGTTCGGGTGAAGTGCAACCCAAATGGACCATGCCGAGTCGGATCAAGTATATACCAAATAAGTTATGGACTTAGACACCTTATCCAACATCTTATCCTATGAGTTCGATCTTAAATCTAAGTAAACTCAAAATCATAGCACTTGTGGTTCCACTCGTTTGTAGACTTGTCTAGAATCCATGATACGATAAATCATTTGATTGAAAATGTAAATATAGTCATGAAATGCGCCTGCTTAGTCAAGATTCCCCTAATAAATATTCAAGTGCATTACAAAGTTGTACATGTATGAATAATGTCCTTTCGTAGGTTATGTTTTGAAGAGAAGCAAGAATGAATCTCATAAAGTCATTAATATCAGTAGGAGATGATGTGAGATTTGTTGTAAATGAGTAAAGGGAAAATGAATCAGGAGGGTAACCAACTCTTGCGTTTGTTCTCATTTGGTCCCTTTCCTTTTTTTTGTACTCAATATACCATCGAACTTGTTGTTTGTGTTCACCATAACCCTTTGACCGGCTATCACAGGTCAAAAGCTGGTCAAAAGGGCTATGGTAAACACCAACAACAAATTCAATGGTATATTGAATACAAAAAAAGAAAAGAAACCAAATGAATACAAACGCAAAAGTTAATTACTTCAAGAGTTTTTTTTTTTTTTTTTTTTTTTTTTTTTTTTTTTTTTTTAACTTAGCTTATCTGCTTCTTAGTTAAGCCAAAAATAACCTTTCCCAACGATTTGTACGGGGAAAGTGGAGGAATTACCGGCAGTACTCCGTCTATGAACAGGTTCAGACATGGAGGTCGATCTCATGGAATGAATAGGTCGTCCAGCAAAACCCTAGATTTCAACGTTTCTTTTGAAATTGAATTGAGCTTATTTAATGGAACTATCAAATGAATGTTAGTCGTTAATCACTCAATCGCATGATCCTACATTCAAATTTAAGCGCTTCATCGAGTAAATTGGCGACGCCGATTGCGATTTGACTTCGTAATTTGTTTTATATAGCAATCATTACATTTGATTCATGATTATCATGTATACATAGAAGAAATTCAACATCAAACTTCACAAAAGAAATGCATCAAACTCACACTCCCTCCTTTCCCAATCGACTCAATCGCAGACTCAGTCGCTCAGAGAGAGAATATATTATTCTGAATCTGGTACTTCTACTTCACTCTTCTGTACATTTTTGTTTCACTAGACAATATACTCCTAAAATCGAACTTTGCAACTTCTTCACAACTCATCATTTGACAGAATGCTGCAAAAAAACAAAGCATAAACACAGTTATAGCTATTCATTGACATTCAATCATTCATGTACGTGTATAGATTACTTTACCTGATGATTGTCATGAGATTTAGCGTCTGATTAACGTCTGTAATTGGGAGAAGCAACATATCCAGACTCTATGTGCCTAAGATCTTTAAGAAGCACCTCATAATGCCTTTTCACTTCTTCTACAGACTTCCCACCCACTGCCCTAGCAATATTCTGCCAACGATCAGGGGTGTCTCTATCATACACTGCAAGAGCTGTTTCAAATAACTTGTTTTGCTTCGCTGTCCATGAGCAGCTGGATCCATATGAAGAAATTGAGTTTGTTGACATTTTGGATATCAAGATTTTCAAATAAAGTTGTTGGTTTCTTGTACTTGATGCTTGAGAAAGGCTAAAAGAAAGGAATTGGAGGAGTGATTTGCAGGTTTTGATGAGGGGAAGCTCTTTATAAACTGAAGGAAAGTTGTACGGGTTTTCTAGTTGCAGGAATATAACTTGCAAGATGGTCAAATTGTAAGTGACCCATCACCCATCATCATCTTTTACAAATTGCAGATATTATAATCAGTGGAGTATGAGAATCAGTATATGTTCTGGGACCTAAGGAATTCTCTTTGAATTATGACAACAAATCATCTCTTTTTGCTACTTAAATTTCATGATGGAAACTGTTTCAACTCTTCATCTTTACATAATCAACTTTCTAAATGCAATTTCATTTCAAAAATCAAGTTGTGTTTTTGTGTAACAAATGCAGCCTAAAGTTCTTTCCTTTCATTAGAAAGAACTTTCTTGTACATGGTGTTTGTTATGAATTATATGAAGTATTTCTCATCATGATGAGTTATGATCAAAATTTTGTCTTATTAATGCTCATAGTTTGCCTTAAAAGCAATAGTTTTTGTTTTTTTCTTGTGTTGATTTCTGAAAGCATATAAGTTTCTTTCTATTTGTGTTACAGGACCTGATTCTTCCATCTTTTATTGTTCCATTTTTCCATATGGACCACATGTTTTTTGATTAAAAGTAGGATATTTATCAAGAATCCAAGTTATCTAACCCAACTTGAATTATATCTTTGCACAACAGATGCTAACTGGAGCAAGTTGTTTGAACATGACATTTGTGTTCTTATTTTCCAGCATCTCAAACATCTATTAAAAAAAAAAGTTCAGAAATGACTCTTCATTAGATGCCTTATATTGAACACATACTACTTTGATATTTGGCTATTAAATCGATCATATGAATTACTCTCAAATCCACATTTAAACTCGCACTCTATCCCTCGCCTGTGTAAAGACAAAAATACCCTCCTGCCCATTAGTTTTAAGACCAAAATTTGCTTGGTTTCTTAATGGGCCTAGTGGGCTTAGTGGGCATAAGGCTTAATTTGGTAAGGTATATATGGTTGTTTCTTTTTGACTTAATACATACATAATGACTTAATGAAATGAAGGGATAATGAAGAATGAAATAGAGTTGTATTAATGAATAGAACCTTGGGATCTTTTGTTTTTGTAGGTATTATTTGTGTATAAGTCTTATTTGTGTGTTACTATACGGTTGTAATTAAGTACTTAATGAAGGACTTAATGGACTTAAAAGAAATCGTGGAGTAGGTATATGATTGTTAAGGAGTAGCATGAATATATATATACACATGGGTCGGGTCGAGGTGACACACAACACCTTTTGTCATGTAGTATGAAAACTATATTATTAAAGTAATAATATAATTCTTTTAAATAAAACTATATATTATGAAAGTAACGTCGGTGTCACTAAAAAAGACATTTCGTTTTGCATTCAGACCACAAATAGTTAAATCCAAATCACATTCCAACTTGTACAACATATAATCCAAGATGCAAAATAATAATACCATCTCTGGAAATAACAATTTTGCTTCTACTCATATCAAATTTTCACATTTAAAGTTTTTTAAGTTTTTTTTAAATGTTTTTATCTTTCATAATATTAAAGTAAATTTATTAATATTTTATAAGCTGTGATTTTTGTCCTTACTATATTTTAAACCTTTTTTTTAAACATAATTAAAATGAATTGCAAATGAATTATCTATCACATGCATGGAATCACTTAAAAGAAGTATCGGAGTGTAGTTGGATGTGGTCTGGCTCTCGTACTGGCATTAGGTATTGGTCTGATGATTTGTTTGCAGAATAAGATGAAAATTCAGATGTGTTTGTTGAAGACTCAGATGAGGATTCGGACGACGAGGACGCCGATCAAGAGTTCCGTATTTTTTTAATAATGGTTTATCATTTTTATTATGTAATTTTTAATTATGTTTTCTAAGTTTTATTATGAAATCTTAATTTTTAAATAATGAGATATTTTTATTTTAATTAATTTTTGAGTTTATTAATATATTTTTTTAATTTAATTTATTTTTGAATTATAAACTATAAAAATAAATTATTTTTATTCTTAAAATAATAAAAGATAGTGAAATGTGATTATTTCCTGGGTTTTGACAAGTGAAATATGAATATAAGAAAAAGTGAGTAGGGGGGGAGTAATGGGGTGTGAATAGACTCTCCAACTTTACATAATAGTTAATATTAATTAATTTCAAATATAGTAGCATTATTTGTGCAATTTGCCATAAAAATGTTAGATTTATTTTATTTTTTTTCAAACAAGAAAATCTTCCCTCTCCCCCTTCTCCATAGGCGATACCTGAAACTTCTGAAGAAGCTTCACGCACCAGGTCCTTGTCTCGTCTCCTCACAATTGATATCTGCGGTTTAAAATTTTATCCACTGTGTAATTGATTCTACCTGACTTGTTGAAATTCCTGAATCTTCTGACGTGATTGAAGGGTTTAGGGTTTTTTCATAACTTAATTTGTTTCTTCTTTCAGCTACTCTCGTTATAATTGACAACTGTTAGACAATAGATCAGATCGTTATTCCTTGGCAAAATGGCGACTGAATCATCGGAGGGAGAAGAAGAAACGAAACTCACGGGAGGGAATCCGCAACTGGTGGTAGATGGCGACCTCCGTGAGATGGCAAAGATGGCTGCTTGGAGCGTAAGCTCTTGTAAACCCGGCAATGGTGTCTCTTCTCTTCGAGACGACAATTACGAAACCTATTGGCAGTATGTTAATTTCTCCATTTCGTTTCCCCAATTTTCTTTTACTTTTTCATGTGTGTGGTTTTCCATTTGACAAATCCTTGATTAATTCTGGATTCAGATCAGATGGCGCACAACCACATCTCGTTAACATTCAGTTCCAAAAGAAAGTTAAACTTCAAGTAAAGTACAATCTTGCTTTCTCCTTATACTACTCTAGAAATCCGACTTATTAAAAAAACGGGAAATGCATCTTCTTGTTTTGTTTCTGTAATCACTAAATCACATCTTGCATTTGAAATCTATAATGGGGTTTTGTTGCTTATTCAGTTAGTGGCGCTTTATGTTGATTTCAATCTCGATGAGAGTTATACACCTAGTAAGATCTCAATTCGTGCTGGAGATGGTTTCCATAACTTAAAGGTGCTCTTCTCAAATTTCTGATCTTTGGCTTTTATTTTCTACTCTTTTAATCATTAGCAACTGGAGTACAAAAAAAATAGTATGAATTGATTATAACCTTGATTGAAAATTTGAAGTTGATCATGTTCTTCCTTGTAGGAGATAAAAACAGTAGAACTTGTGAAACCAACTGGTTGGGTACACATATCTTTATCTGGAAATGATCCTCGGTAGGCAATACAATAGTTTTAATATTTGAATTTATATAATTAAAGTCTTAAAAAATCATCTGCATTTTTTTTCTATAGTATTTTGATTTTCTTATGACAGGGAAGCTTTTGTAAATACCTTCATGTTGCAAATTGGTATACTGTCGAATCATCTTAACGGGAGGGATACACACGTCCGCCAGATAAAAGTTTACGGACCGCGACCGTACGTGACAGTCTTTTTAGATAAAGTTCCAATCATCTGATATCATATAAGATGACTGGAGCATCTATGATTGGAGCACTGGTATCATATATGCTCCAGTCATAGATGACTCGAGCATCTATGACCGTACGTATCATTTATGCTCTAGTCATAGATGCTCATGCTCCGGTCATCTATGTGACAGATGACCGGAGCATTTAAGGAGTCATCTGATATTCAGATGTTCTTGAGTAGAGCATTTGAGATATCGGATGACGAGAGCATCATTTACGGATGAAATTCTAATTCAAGAATTTTGTTGTGTGGTGTGTTGCAGGAATCCTATTCCACATCAACCATTTCAGTTTACTTCAAGTGAATTCATTACTTACTCAACTGTGAGATGAAGAAAATTTAAAAGGCTTGTTGGATTGTGATGGTTTACATGTTAGTTAACTTAGCTGTACCATTTTAAATTTATGGTTAAAGGTTGCTCAATATGGTTTTTTTATTTTTGGAAAAGAATGGTGTTTAATGTGTGATTGATAACATTGGCCATATGCACTGTTTCTTTTTTTGTCCAAAATGGGTCATTTCTTCCCCAATGAAATGTTTATTTATTTATTTATTTATTTATTTATTTATGTAAGAATGGTGGTTTACTTGCATGAGAATTTACATCAGCACTACGTCATAAAAAATACGTAGTTTCATAAGAAAAAGATAGTTCATAAGTAAGTTCTTTCTTTCAATAGACTTCTCATGTCAACATTTTTTTTTTTGATAACATTGAACAAAAAAAAAAAAAGTACAAAATTTAACGTTGAACAAAAAAAATACAAAATTTCACAACAATGAAATAAATTGAAAGGTGAGTTGGCTACACCTTTTTTGAAAGAGAGATTTAAGGTATTTAGATTTAGCAAATACGAAACTTGGTTACTATTTGTCTAATCAACTATTTTTTTTTAAATGGTAAATTACACAGATGGTCCCTTTGCTTTAGGGTAATCTGTGTATTTGGTTTCCTGCACACAACGGTGGATGATATTTAGAGAAGCACCGCCAGCAGATCTTCAACACCGTTGGGGATGGTCAACATTGGGTATCAAAACATGAAAACATGACATCCATATCTAGTGTCGAGGCTGAGTATCGGGGTGTGGCTAATACTATTTTAGAAAGTTGTTGGAATCAGAATCTTCTTTTTAAACTTCATTATTCATCTCATCAGACTATCTTTGTTTATTGTGATAATCTGAGTGTTGTCTACATGGTACACAATCTGGTTCAACATCAACAGATGAAACAGATCAAGATTGATCTTCACTTTTTGAGAGACAAAGTTGTTAGCGGTCATGTTCGTGTTGTTCATGTGCCGTCATCGTCTCAATATGCCAACATTTCGGGTCCAATTTGAACGTTATGGAATCTCCACTCACTACAGGAGGCTATTAGCATGGCATTATTATTATTCATTGTAAATCTTAGTTTTTATATTTCTTAGCTCAGTTGTATTGGTCTTTGTCTATGTACTTTTGTATATATACCTACTCTTTAATGAGAGATCAGATATGTGGAAATCATACCAATTGCAGTATTTATGCACTTTTTTTAGTTGTTTTTTTTAATAATATTGGCCTTTATATGTGAATATAAAATAAGAATATACTTGTTAATTACATGAATATGTTGAACTAATTTTTTTAAGAAAAATGAGTGACAAGAAATCATTCTTAATACATCAATCTTCACATATGATTAAAGGTTATTATCGTAAAGCATGAAAGAGAAGTAACATATGCTATTAAAAAACATAGTATTACATGAAATATTGACATGTAAATATAATTCTTTGAACTATTTTGAAAATATATAGGTATAATTGGTTATTAAAATGTGTTTTTTTGTTATATATATATATATATATATATATATATATATATATATATATATATATATATATATATATATATATATATATATATATATATATATATATATATATATATATATATATATATATATATATATCATTTGAATATAATTTCTTCCACTTATTGAAAGTATTTGAGTATGGTTGATAATAATTTTTCTTTATTATATCCATATATAAATACAAATTTTTGTATTGTTTTGAAAGTACCCATGTATATGCAAGCATATACATTGCATGATTCAGGTGTTTCGATCATTTTTTTTCAGATGTTAATATATATGTATTCTAATATGAAAAGAAAACACATTCACATAACCAAACCTTGTTAGTTTTAAATGGACTTTATTAATTGTGATTGAACCTTGTCCTTTGTGGATAAAAAACAATAGACCCCAAACACCATTAGGATGGCGTAGGGAGGAGGTAGAAGTCGACAATCAAGTATCCGTGGAAGGAAGAGTGATTATGCCACTTAGATGACCTCTTTCATGTGCATAAATTAGGGGTGAGCGCGGTGCGGTTCGGTGCGGTTATTAGCTAAAACCTCACCACTAACCGCAAATGCGGTTAATCCATTTTGAAAACCGCATAGTGCGGTTATTTTTGCGGTGCGGTTAGGCGGTTATTTTTGCGGTGCGGTTTTGTTTTTTCTGTGTTGTGGTTATTAACCGCATGGATTTGGCGCGGTTATTTTGTGCGGTTTTTAACCACAATTTAGAGCTCAAACGGTTTTAAAAGTTCAAACATATTACTTGTAATAATAAAAAAACCATAAAGTATAAAACAATTAACTTAAATTACAAACAACTAATATCTTAAAAACGTCAAATCAATAGTAATTTAAAAAAAATATCTTAAAATTGTCGAATTTCACCATTTTTCAAAGTTAAACATAACAAAACACCAATACTTTGGTCTTCTAGTATTTTATCCATCTTTCATCCATGAAACTTATGTTATTTTTAGTATTTAATATATTAATAAATAATTAAAAAAATTGTATATAACATATGCGGTGCGGTGCGGTTTTTTTGCGGTTTTTGAAAACTAATAACCGCACCGCACCGCAAATTTGCGGTTTTTGAAAAACAGAAAACCTCATCATCGGTTTTAATTGCGGTTGCGGTTTATCGGTTGCGGTTTATGCGGTTTTTGCGGTTAAATTTAATTGCGGTGCGGTTTTTGCTCACCCCTAGCATAAATGAACACTTGTAGAAGGGGAAAATAAAAGAAAAGTAAGTTGTAGGATGTCCTCCACATCAAAACTATAAGGATGTCCTCTCTTCCTTTTACCCTCAATAATAATTGACTCCATTCTCTAACTTTCGCTGATGGTAGCCTCATTATGACACGTCCCTACCATCTTAAACGTCCTTCCTTTAATTTTTCAATGAACTCTGACACTCCTAATGAGTTTCTTATTGTTGCGTTTGGCATTCCATCCAACAAAGTTTTACCACAAGTCTACCTCATTTTAGATACATCCATCTTTATGTCATGGTTGTTCTTGGACAATCAACATTTAGATCTATACACCATAGCAGCCCTAGTAAGTACTTTGTAAAGTTTTCTGTTCAGACTCAAAGATACTTATGAGGTTTCCCTCTACACCCTGCCAACCAAAGTTTATACGATGTGATATGTCTTCCTCAACACCCCTTCCTTTATCGATCATAGACCTTAAATATATGAAGCTCTCCTTTAGAGAAAGAGGTACATCCCCTACACTTAGGTCTGCTCCTTTATTTATGTCCCTATTAAAATTACACAAAAGATACCATGTTTTAACAATGTTGAATTGTAGCCCTTCCTCCTCTAATGTTGCCCTCCATATAATTCTAAGAGATAAAAGACATAAAGATTTTCAGTTTATTAAACACCATTCACTCTCTAATTTTTCAATGGTTTGAACTATATTATGCTACAAAATATAATATTAATTATCCATTTAGAAAAGATTTAGTTACTCCTATTTTTGATAAAAAAAAAGTATAAATATTATGTTTTTAATCAATAAATTATTTCTGATTATCCACAAAAGGAAGTTATTATTGATCATGGTTTCATAACAACTCCTCTTTCAAAGGTTTCAAATCAATGAACAACTTATAAAGGTCTTCAAAATATTATTTACCAAAACAATTATTTAATGAGGTTTTAAGAGCAATTGGAGAAGACGTTGTTAGAATTGAAGAAAAAATTTCGAAAGAAAAATCTATACAAAATTGTTTAACAATTATATAATTATAAACAACAAAAATCAACAAAACACTTAAATATATGTAATCATAATTGTTCAAAAGAAATAAGAAACACGAATAAAATAAACAAAGCAAGCTCCAATAACTATTCAAATATTTGTTTTTTCTCTCATCAAATCAAAGGGATTTTAATATACAAAGTAAAGATCTTATAGATGAATTATAAAAAAGACTTTTCAAACTAAGTATTAAAAATATCAATATTCTTCAACATACATCAATTGATGAATCTAAAGAAATAAATAGTGATATTGATATTAATACTCTTGTTCAACAATTTATAGATAAAAAAGAACAAAATATTAATCAACTTAATAATAAGTTATCAAATTAAGATAAAATTAGCCAATTTAAAGGAAATCCTAAACCAGCAATTAGAAACTATTTGTGGAGACCATCTCTTCCTAATGTTCAAACTGAAGAAAGAGTATTTCACTACGATCGATAAGTTTATGATGGTACTTCTGTTTATGAATGAAATATTGTTGGATACCCTAAACATAAAATAATGAATATTATTCAAAAAATGACTATGGAAGCTAATACTTACAAGTCAATGGGTAATACTCAACCTCAAATTGTTAATATTATATTATCTGGTTTTACTAACACTCTTAAGGGATGATGGGATTTTTATATTACACCAGATGAAATTAATACTATTTTAACGGCTATAAAATTATAATAAAACAAGACAATAGTCAATAGTTGAAAACATTACAAGAATATATGGTAAATACTCTTACTTTTTCTATCATCAAAACTTTTATTGGAGATCCCATTATATTTCAAGAAAAAAAACTTCTGAAATACTTATAACTTTAGATGGTATAGAGATATTTATCTAGTTAAAGCTTTTTCAAGACCTAACTGCAAAGAAGTTTATTGAAAAAAATATTTCATTGCAGGTTTATGATGAGAATATTATTGTTAGATCAATAGATTTAAAACATGTAGAGAAATCAAACACCAAGAATGAATATCAAAGTTTTGCTGAATGATTAAAAGCACTACCTTAGAAGAGCTCGATTAAGAACTGCTATTGTAAAGGCAGAGTAGGGTTACAAGACCATTAACTAAACACGGTGCATGCATGGACTATTTATACTCTAACCCTAGCACATTAATATCGGGTGGACAAGCCCAACCGTTACAAAAGATTAAATAAAACAATACAATAATTATTAACACAATACAAAATAATCCCAACAATCTCCCCCTTTGTGTCAATAAGGAAAACAAATTCTTCATTGTTGTTGTCGCTTTTGCACTTTGAACAGCTTTGGCATTATTCCCAGCATGGACTTGTGAACCAGGACATACCAATTGATCATGTACGAATAACACTTCTTGTCCGCAACATTGTTCTCTTTATTCTAACTTATGAAATCCATGATGTATTCAGGATAGGAGGAGGAGTACAGATGTTTGTCTGGCGAGTAGAAGCAGGCTCTGTGAAAGTTCGTATCTGGTTTCTC